ATAAACTACGTTAGATGTGGAATGTAAATTAGACAATATTTTATATGATTGTAGTAGCTCTATTATATTTGAATAAGATAGTTATTTGAGGAGAAATGCCGTCTTGCTGTGAGCGAATGTACTGGTCATGTTTGCCCCAGAGCAATGCGCAACATGCAACAGGTATCTTACGGCTTTCTGCAATCTACCACTGTCAAGTTCTCCACTTTCATCTCGTAATGGTTTTGAAAAATGGTCTTGAGTTCATTTCTTTATCACATAAGCATTCTACACATTCGCAACATGCAATTCCATTTAACTTTATACGTTTAATATTTAAAAGCATAACATAATTTGCGTCTCACAATCAGTACAATAATAATAAAGTACAAGCATGAGATAAAAAACCCCGTTAACAATAAAACGTCCAGCAAGAATGATTAGCAAAATTGAGAAGTCAAATAAATAAGAACTCGTATACGAAAGAAATATTTTAATTAATTTTATTAGACAATCTTATCTCTAAGGAAAATAATGTTTATTAACATTAGAAATTGTGAAATTTGAAATTTTAAGGAAACAAACTTATCAACATTTTAAATTTAAAAACTGAAAGAAAGTCGATTATGTCAAGAATTAGCATTGATCTGAAATTAAATAGGACTATTAACATCTCATAATAAAGAAAAGCGAGTATATTTATACAGATGATAAAATTATAATTCAAAAAGAGGAAGAACCAATCACTAGTTTAATGTTAAGTAATGCAATGCGATGTATATTTCTCAAAGTCTGATTTCTCGCGAATTGTAGATAAACGCAAAGTAGCGAGTTGTGAATATAGACCAAAGATTGAAGCGTCAGCACAGCCACGAGAGAGATAGAGATAGAGAGAGAGAGAGGAGCCTTGCCTTGGGCGCAGGAGGGAACACACGATTGCAGGCCGCGGCGATGTGTCAGTCAGCCACTGGCGCGCTTTACCTGGTAACAGAACTGGATCTCCTCGATGCAGCACCTCGTGACCGGGAGCCGGAAGCGGAAGTGAGGGACTACGATCGCCGCCGAAGTCCGAGACTCGAATGACGTAATGCCGGACCGTCGCGGAAGGGTTGCAGGTGAAAAAGGGGTAGGGATCGGCGGCGCTCGTCGCCTGGTGGGGGCGACGAGGGATTCTGCGCGATCGTCGACGCCGGCGTCGCGACGCCGCGTGATCCCCCCCCGTCACCCGTCCCGTCATCCCGTCAAGTATACACGTTACCCCATCAGGTATTTCCGATCTCTTGTAATTTGACAATCGGCCGACGTCGGGTGCCACGTCAGTCAGCCAGTTAGTCAGTCAGCCGCTCGCGCGCGCTTTAATGCTGCAATGGGGTCGTCGCACTCCGGAGATCGGCGCGAAGCGCGCTGGCTGATTTATTTTATTAATTAGGCGACACACACACACATCGAAACCACCGCCGATCTATCGCAGGATCTCTCTGCGTATCCTGCAAGGAAGCTAATTCCATTAGGCGAGATGCCGGAGTGTACTCCGGACTTTTTTTTTATCATGTGACACTTTCTCATCACGGACGAAGATGTAATACGGAAGTAAGTGACGTTTCATTGGATTTTCAAATCGTTTCAAAAATAATGTTTCGTATATTTGTAGGTTTTTCTATTATTCGCGGCTGTACAGAGCGACATTGATGTGTCTAACTTGGATTTATGCAAGACAACAGAGTGAAAGATCCTGACAGATGTCGATTTAAAACTAAAGATAGAGAAATTTTACTGTTTTTCAGATTAATTTTTTAAATGTCACAAATGCAAAAGAAGATATTAATTCAATCGTTTTACCAAATATAGAATTCGACGACACTGCATCGGGATATCAAATTAGTACCAAAAAATACATAATGTAATAAAATATTATCAACGTCAAAATCTTCGAGCACAAAAAAGTGATGTCGTACTTACAGAATGACATTTCTGTCAGTCTATAAAATTTTATGTTCTAAATATATATAGACATCTGACTTTTGCCGATTCATACTAGTCTGCATATTCTCGCTTAGATTTTTCTAAGAACGAGCCGTTTTTTTACTCATTACTTAAAATTCATAACTTCCAGCAGCTGCGGTTAACGTTCGACGTCCTGACAAAGAACTCATCCCGATACACGGCGCTTCTAATTTTGCAACATCGCGCGCGTGCAGCGTGCTTGAGTGCGATGTTATTGCGGAAGTGCCGCGCGAGCAGAAGTTTAATTCCTGCCATTGGCTCCGAGGCGAAATTGACTTTGACGAATGATAGTTGCCCGCCGCGGGCTGTATCGAGAATGGTGTGACGTTAATGCGAAGTTGATGTTCGATAAGCCGATCTCGGTAGATATTTAATTTGCGCGTTGTAAGCGAGTAGATCGCGAATGGTTGCATGCGGAACCAGTCCGCGGAAGAATTAACTTTGTCAATTTCATTTCCTGTATTTTTTTTTTTGCAATCGTGGTATACGATGATAACGATATTAATAAGCAAAACCGCGGTACTTTTTTCAGATTCGTCGCAGCGAATAAACAGTAAATATCACAGTTCTTTCTGGATGAAGATTAATTGCATCGACAGGTACACTCATGGATTAGAAAGGCACGTTATCAAGTTATCGATGTAAACGTCAAGAAGATTTTTCATAATACTATCTCGTGAATCTTCTATGTTTCATATTTTATATTTTTCTTTACAGTTATAGTACCATAGTTGCATTTGGAAAATGCACCATATTTTCGTAAATCCATGAATGCGCTGTCGTTGCTTATCGTCGAGTGCAATATACTCCCTCTCGCGCTATTCATTCCGTAAAAACTGATCCTCGCCTCGATAGAACGTGCATCTGCTTTCCTGCGGCTGTTATTACTCCCGACTTATTAAGCTGTGCTGAATTAATAGCATTACGCATTCGTGAAATATTGCTAATTACGCCACATAAATATGAAACACGTACATAAATAACTACCATCTGAGATAAGTATTATTAAAGATGAGATTTCTCTCTCAGTGAAACTCGACAAAGTATTACATTCTGATTTATCGCGTAAAAGCTTCATCAGAGTATGTGGAGTGTTTCGAAATAACAGTAATTCACAAGCTCCGTTTAATGTAAAATATCCGATGAAATAAAATATGATATTGCTAATAAAAGAAATAAAATAAATGTTCATGGAGAGAGAGAGAGAAGTTTTAAAATACCGATTAATAGTAAGTAAATGAAATGTATCTGTCAGCTCGCAATTATTCAAAAAGGTATCGCTTTTCTGGAACAACGTTTGTCCTGAAAATCAGGAGGGAAAAAAAATCAAAGACCATCGGACTGATGAGTTAAATAAAGAAAATGCAAATGATCGTATTGCTGGTCGAAACGTTAATGGATACAAACGATTCTGTTAGCTCGTAATTATACCGGATTACTTTTCCGAAGCAACAATAAAAACATTGCAGAAGCAAAGTGAATCTCGTCGAGATGCAATTTCTACTTTTCTCTTATCTCAATTAGCATCTAAGACGCTGCTCGTAAAGCATACATCGTCCCAATGCATTTTTCAAAAGTCTCGCGCTTGAATCCAAGACCGAAAACGGCTCGACGTCACTCGATGGAACCATGGAATGAAATTTTCACGTTGGTTCGACTCCGACGTCGCGTCGGCGTCGGAGGGAAAAAACAACATTCGCGCGCGAACACGGCGGAGACTACGTGTAGTAGGCGATATCTCCGTCGCCGGATACTAATTCGCTTTCGTTAATTAGCGCCCGCTCGAAAACGGAAGACGCGGTTACATTATGCAGGATCTTCGGATTCGCGATCGCGTCGCGAGTCGGATTAAGCACGTTACGCGACGAAGCGGCGCGTTAAACATTCAACGTTGCTCGATCGATCTGGACGGCGAAGCGAGGATTATAAATAGGAAAGAACACCGTTGCATAAATGTTGCGATCTCGAGAATTTAATTAAGACGCTTTTGTAGCGTGCTCTACTTTGTAAAAGCGGTATCTCGATTGTTCTTCTCGAAAAGAAATTTCCAATACGCGGCAATTGCAGCGCCGTAATTGCAAATTAATATATTCTCTCTTTTACATGCAATTAATTCATATCAAATTTCATCTAAATATGTATCTATTTATAGTTTTCAACTCGCGAGCTGCAGGCTTTAAAATGTAAAATAAAATCTAACATGTTAAACGTCAATTGGCTTGTAATTACGACAGGTTCAAATATAACTTAATAAGAACTTCTCCTTTCCTAAGGTTCCTTATCTCCTAAGTTTACAAGATATCACGTCCGCGTTAAATGTCATACATTAGATTACATTCTTTGCACTGTGAATACTCAATTGCGAATCTCCCTGAGATGCAGCTAAAGTTCAACGGTCTCTTGGATCCCTATTATCCGCTGCAAAAGATTAGATACAAAGTACAGGATATACTGTTACTGTAACCAGCTCGAGGAACGTGGTTAACTCCAACACAATCAGAAAACAATCATGCTAGACAAATTTTATCTTGTAAAAATCATAATCGAAAACGTTATTGCGTTTTATAATTTCTTCACTGTTAATAAATAAAGTCATAAAATTCTAATAAAATAACGATCTATTCATAATACTAATAAAAAGAAATGTTTTTTTCCAAAATTTCTTTGAGAAACCTTCTCATAATTATCTTTCCAGCAAAAATAATCTTATATGATTAATATCTTATTTAATTGTTAATTGCATCTTCAGCACAATTTCACGCCACAGATCTACTGAGAATTATTACTCATAGACGGATTAATATAAGTATAAGATACATCATCATTGCAGCTATGTGCAGAAACTATCGCGAATCGCGTCACTTTATCAAGCAGCAACCACCTGCGCATCGCCGGATTATAAAATCTAAACGCCGACCACATAGATCAGGAGATCTCTCGGAATGTGTTAGAAAAAATCGGAAATATCATCGTGTTATTGTACTGCCTTCTATGCGTTGCATTCCACCACATTTTACAGCCACATCCGAACACGCGATCATGTCGGGCTCGCAACTCTGTGCTGGAGATTTATCTCCGTTTCGACGAAGCATCGTCATATCCTCGTTACTTTCTACGAAATCATAAATTAAAGTCCAGTCGGGATTGTTTATTAGTGCGCCATTGTTCTCCAAATAGTCGTCCGCTTGCAACCAGCTCGCTACAACCAGGTGCATTGCCCTTCCTGCGTCGTCGTCGATGATTACTCAACAACCGGGTCCACGATCGTCGACCGGTCGGTCTACAAAGGGCGCGCATCGAAGGCTCGATTGCGATCCAAGGTCACACGAGGAAGAACCGTGAGTAATTCAGCCGGCATGGTCAATGACACGTTATGCAACGCGGCCGTAATGACGCCGACGATTCGTCCTCTTCCTTGTTCCTCACGAAGATGTATTCGCCTCCGCGAAACACCAAGTATCACACAGAAACGCTGAGTTCTCAACATCGCGACCGGAAACTCTTTGTAATACAAATTATGCCACAATGTGCAAAAATAGAATCGTTTTGAAACGATAACGTAATTTATTATTGTTTCTTTATTATTAATTTATTACTAAATCTTTTCGAGATTTAATTGTATATTATTCATATCTTCTCGCTTTTAGGTATGTAACAAGTTGTAGAAATAACTTTAGAAGACTAAAAGATTTAGAAAATTAAAAATTTCTATCAACTCGAAACATTTTTTGACACGATAACATGATAAAAATTATTATCTTCATAATACATACAATTTATGCTAATTAAAATAATTCAGAAAGTAAACAGTAAAAAAAGCAAATACAAATCATAGGAAAAAATGTGTGTACTTTGAGAGATAAGACCGGGGCTACAATGAGAAAACCTACCCTGCTTTTTTCAGACGCGCAATCCCGTGTGTATAGTGCTTTTAGATTTGTCCCCGCGATGAGACACGAGTTTTTTACCCTCGAAAATCCAGCGTATCGACTGGCAACAGTGCTGAGAATTCCACACGTGCTCTGCTCTACACTCGAGGAAGAGAGTCCTCAACAGAGACGAACAAGAGAAAATGAAAGAAGAAAAGACACGAGGAAAAAAAAAGTATAACGGTAATATTCGCGATGCGCTGCAAGTGAATTTAATCTATAGACAGCATCGACTGGCAAGGTCCATCAAATTGCGATAAAATTTTCAACAAGCTTATCGCTCGAATCAACTTAATATCGTGGAAAATTTCTAGCGTTGTCTTCTTTGAATATTATATAATTTAATACCCGATTATGAACTTCGTAAAAGAACACAGAATTTAATCTCACATATTACCCTGCCTTATATAAGAAGAATTATAAATTTTATTATCTGATGTCTATCTGATAAGGTACTTCTACTTATACTTTATACATATACATACGTTAATGCTTGTAAGAGATCCATTAAGATTATTAATATATACAGATATATGTTTTAATTAAATTCGAGTAAGATTTTATGGTTCTGAGATATTCAGTACCAGACTCTCTTGCAAGTCAAATTCAAATATTTATAAAAGCCAAAGTACTAATTAAGATTGCTACATATGCACATTTTTTTAAAATATATATGTTCACATTTTTCTAAAAACATATTAAAAGACAATTGTAGCATATATGTTACGCTACGTTACTCATTGACAAATTTACCACTTCTATATCATTATCATCATCATCATCATCATTGTTTAGATTCGCTTAGTATCTCCAAATTCGCGTACGTTCAAAGCAACGTGTCTTTCTGCGAGCGTCGTTTGAGAGAAATGTGACTTTAATCGCACTACGAATGAATGTTATATTCCATTGGCAAGTGGATGCGGTCATGGCGGTGAATAGGCGCCGACTGACAGTGACAGATTCGCTCTCGGTTCTAAGCAGCTTAGAGTTCCCGGTTCCGTGCAGTTCCATCATTATCGAGTGCCCTTAATTGCTAACACCGGTGTTTCTATGCTGGTACTGCTGGTAGGGAACGAGTGAAGGTACTGAGCGCGTTTGAACTTGAAACTGTACGGCCCTGAGACGCAAATCATCATCTCGAAGAAGCCTTAAGCAGCTGTTACGTCTCGCTTGTATGGCAACGTGATTCAATTTGCGTCGTTTCGCCATTGAGCAGTGACGTAATAAAATAAAAGTAAATAAAATAAAATATTTCATAGTGTATAAGACTCACACATACCAAGCGAAGGATAAATTTTACGACGAAATATGCAACATGGATAAAAAATATATACAAGCATTTTGTTTTAAAATTAACGTCACAAAAAATAATAAAATCATTATCTTGAGCCAGTAATTGAACGAATAATTTCGAATAGCAACATTTAAAACCAAAATGTAGTGGAGATATAATAGATAAAAATTTACGTTCGCTAAAATATGAACGCTACTGCGATTGTGATTATTCGTTTTATCGAAAACGTTACAATAAAGCTTATCCAACAAGGAAAATAAATTTCAAATCGACACATCGAGAAAAATGCATAAACACGAGCAATGATAAAAAAAAGCTACGTACACCCTGAGCAACTTCACCTGATGCTGTTTGCGCAGCTGTAACGTTTCGAGTACCTTTCATCGTTTGAAACTCTTCAAACAACTCCGACCTTTTCTATTAATAAAAGCGCTGTGGTAACTCTCATACATCAAACGCACCGGATATAGACGCACTTTGGATTTAACACATTGTAGATACTGATTTATCCTCGCATAATCAAATATGCGACATTTCCTCGCGATTCTTAACGTATGTAATGTATTGAACAAAAGATAAAAAATAAATAAAAAATTATATTGCAACGTAAAACTAAATTGTATTACTAACTAATAAGATATTTTTAGCATATGCGTCTTATAGCATAAATAATTGTTACCCCCTAAGGTAATTTTATTACTTTATTATACTAAATTTTTGTGGTGGAATTTATAACAGCTATATCGTGCAGAACTTCATTTAACTTTCTTAATTGGCCATCATCTTACTTCTTTGAGGAGCGAGAATAAGTTGGATCATTAACGCAAAAACGAAAGCAAACCGGGTATATAGAGAAAAAAATTTTGTGTGCACATCAGTAATTCGAGAAGCTGCACTGTATAATCTACAGCGATCGATAACTAGTAATTTGTTGCACTGCGATGCGCGATATCAGTCATGAAATTATAGCAAATTGGGTAATTTATACATGGAACACTAATTTAATTTCCCAAGGCACCGAGTAGCATTCAAAAATATTAAATCATTAAGCGAGGCGAAAATGTCTGATATAAGATAAACGAGAGCAGATTTGCATCTCTATATCAAGATATCAACTTCCATAAATCCTACAAGGTGGTACAATATTTTTAACACTTTGTTCTTCATACTTTTAACATTTGATACCGAAATATTACTTGAGTAAAATACAGAAAAATAATATTAAGTATTTTTTATTTAAAATTTATGCGAGATTAAAAAAGTCAATATATTATAATAATAATATAAAATGATTCAGTAATTATTTGCCAAGTAATTCGGATATATTTTGAAATTTTCTTTAACAGCTACAAGTGTCAGTGCATTAAGAGATGACTGATATCAGCCATCTTTCATCCCACTGAAAATCGGAGCGAGTCATGTAATTTCCCAGTCGTCGCGGTTGAAAACTTTCTTCTGATCATACTTCCGCGGCGCGGCTTGGCGAGAAAAGTTGCGTCGTTAACGGAGGCAGGAAAACCGACGGTGGAATAAAAAGCGGCCCCGTAGGGCCCACCAGGACCGTGAAGCATTAAAGCGCTATTACAAGGTAGTGCGCGCTCGCTCGCGCGAGAAAGAGAGACGCGCTACGCTTATACACGGTGATGCGGCAGAAAACGAGAGAGGACGGGTTCTATTATCCTTGAGAAAAAATCTTCGCCTTCGCGCGGATACCTCTCCTCTCTCGCTAGAAGATGCCTGAATTGGATTCGAGGAGAAGATCCGCAAGGAGCAACGCCGCAAGAAATCGAACGCCGTGATCGTGAGACCTCGCGGCACAGGAAGTGAACTGAAACAATTCGTCGATACCGTAATAAAAACTCGCGAGTCTGATGAATAATCATTCGCTTGTACATGTATGAAACGTTTACTGCAAAAATTCTGTCGATATTAGACAACTAAGATTTTAGGCGCCATTAACCAACAATCGAGTTTCTAATATACTCGTCTAAAAATATGAGAGTTTGGTCGATTTTTTTCTGTATTAATTTAATTTTCTTTATTTATTTAGTAATTATCAACATACATTTTTAATAGCAATTAAACCAAATAAAAATTCCGTTAAATTTATCTTAAATTAATCAAGAAATTCTTTTCCATAAAATTTACAGTTCTAAAGAAATGTGTGCGTAAGAAACAATTACAGTAAGGTTTAGTTTGTCGGAAGTTCATCGCCTCGTTCCACGTTCGTTCGTGTTTCGCTGCGTTCCTTGAGAAATTCGCGCCTCGATGATTACACGCGCTTCCAGCGATCCGTGATGAAACAATTACTGACGATACCGCTCTCTACCAATAAGCGGAAAATGAGAAAAATAATTGCAAGTTCTACTGACGCGTGGGAAAAACAAAATCCCTGCGATCAAGACCACCCAGATTTCACTTTTATCCAGTAAATAATGATCGCCCAATTGTGCTAACCGCAAAAATTTCTCATCCGTGGCAAATACGGTTGTGCGACCTTAAAAAGTTGTCACGTTTCTGTTGATACAGATGTCACCGAATCGTTTAAAGTGTATAACGAATGCAAGGTTGTATTACACGATATCAATTGTATCGACTCCCGATATTCGATATTCAAATCTTGCCATCTTTTATCCGTCATCTTTATTTTAAAAAATTCTATTGCTCTTTTTTTTTAACAGTTTATCTCTCATATCTCGTTATTTTTAACATTGCGATATTTGGATCTCTATTTAAATCTTCATGTAAATTTAAAACTACGTATCGAACCTCACATCGCACGCATGTAATTATAAGTATCCCTTTTTATAGAAGTTTATAATATCACAAATGTTAATATAAACACATCTCTAAATAGTACGATAATGACATTCCAAGATTAAGCGAAGATGATTATGTATAAAAGAACGAAAAATTGGTTAGTCAAGGTAATTGTGGCATGCAGGTGGAAAGCCTCTCGGACAAATAATATGGCGAGTCACGACAGCTGATA